TAACGCCGTGACCGCGAGTCAAACCGACGATCACGCTGTGACCGCGAGTCATACCGACGATAACGCCGTGACCGCGAGTCATACCGATGATAACGCCGTGACCGCGAGTCATACCGATGATAACGCCGTGACCGCGAGTCAAACCGACGATCACGCTGTGACCGCGAGTCATACTGACGATAACGCCGTGACCGCGAGTCATACTGATGATAACGCCGTGACCGCGAGTCAAACCGACGATCACGCTGTGACCGCGAGTCATACTGACGATAACGCCGTGACCGCGAGTCATACCCATGATAACGCCAAACGCTGTGACCGCGAGTCATACCGATGATAACACCGTGACCGCGAGTCATACCGATGATAACGCTGTGATCGCGAGACATTTCGACCGCGAGTCACAAGTTTCTATGCCTGTAATTTTTTGCCATAAATAGTAAAATTGATTTTGTTTGTCTTTTTTGGTAACTACAATACTAAAGACTTTCTTTTTATGCACAGGAAAAATCCCGTCCCGTCCCGAATTAAAAATTCAATCCCGTCTATCCCTCATTAACATAGTATTAAAATATGTGAATGCGACTATTACTGGGGGGGGGGGGGGGGCGCCACGACCACATTTGCCCCGGGCGCCGCTAACCCTAGGAAAACGAAAACAAAACATAACCTCTCTTAGAAGTTATGAGTAGTGACTTTTAGAAATTAAAACACTGTCGTATATAAATAGTGTACGCATCTCGCGTAAATAGTGTTAACGACACTTTAAGGTTTTATTAAAAAAGTTTAAATTTTATTGCAAATTTTCTACTTGTGTCGTTTACCCTATCTTTACGCTGTCGTTACGTAAATTACAATTACGGCTTCCTAGTTTGATAATCCAAAATATTAACGAAAGTTAATAATTAGGCATTAAAAACTATTGGTTAACCCATATAATAATTATCATGAACATCTTAACAATTATCAAGTTTATATATTTTAAATCGGATTGATTATTTAAATATGTTTTAGAAATATCGGATAAGTTAAACCTTTTCATTAGAACCCAAAAATATTTTTGAAAATGTCTGAAATGTATATTTATACTTTTTTAATTTGTTATTCATTATAACTTCAAAGTTGCATACACTTTACGGAAGAAAAACTTTGTTAGCGAGCAAATGAAAAAAGTTCATTGAAAAGTAAACTTTCTTGAAAAAAACATGCTCCGAACATAAACGCGGAATGAAGTTAATATTTATCCTTTGACCTCCGTAGATGCACCCTAGGTTTTAAAAATGCTATTTTTTAGCTTCAGTAATGTTTAAATAAAGTTATTTATAAACGAAGAGGCATTAATAGTTAAACCCTTGGTATTTGATAATACACAAATGTTTAACACAGTTAAAGCTTTTATTAACATTTGCTGGTAATATTTGAATGATATAAACACACATAAATAATCTTCCATCCATCAGGCCAACTCCTAACAGTAATAACAACGACAGATTGCCGAAGGCCGTAGGGAGCACATGGTTAAAGCCAAGATAAGGAAATACAAAGAACTAGGATAGTTGTGTAATGCTTTCGTTAGTTGCACTTTATATATTTTAAAAAGAAAATAACATCCGTTAATCATAACATTTATCTTGATACTTATATTCCGGTCAACCCTTGTAGAACAGCTACATTAATATGAAAAATCACACCATTGAGTTATAAAGATGGAAAGAATCCGAACGATTCGCCAAAGACAAGGTGATTGTGGCATTATACAATTTGGAGACGACACTCGACGTTGTAAGTGCTGCCAGGCGATATCACAGCAAACAAGGAACAAATTGAGTTCAAAGGAAAAAACCTTCCTGCAAACCTTGCTTCAGCGCTTCTGTAACTGATTGATGCAATCTTGTCTTAGGCAAGGTTTTGGCTTGGATGCACTGCCTGACTGTCGTGTGTGTATAACATGAAGAAAGTGCTAATTATTGTTTATTAATAAGTTGATTCAGCAACAATATTTTGAAACAATCTTGTTAAAAATAAATAATTGATAAAGTAGAAGCATGCTCAAACAAAACTATTGAACATTAAACACATTTTCTGATGTTAGTAGAAGACTACATGGGTAGTAGATCGACAAGGGTGGGTTTTAAAAATAAAATAGTTTTTATTTGTATCTAAGTAATTTTCCTGATCTTTATATTTATCTATAAAATATAAACAGATCTCCTTTGTCATGTCAGCTGCTGCTGTAGATTTAAAATTCAAATAATTGTCTGTTAAATGTTTTGTTTCTACAGTAGTAGTTTAAGGTATTCTTAGACTTAAGAATCTAAAAATAGTGCAGTACATTTGCCTAAAAATTCTCACGATGAATTTGTATAAAAAAGAATAAGCATCTAGATTAAGAAGCGACTATTTCAGAGATAAAGATATATTTTGGCTCTGCTTTTAAACTGTTTCCTCAGAAGAATAAAACAACTCTCTTCACTCTGGATAAATAAGTACCTTGAAAATTAAAGATTCTCTACTTTTCTTATAGAGATGGAGGATCCCTTGGTATTTCAAAATAGAAAGTCTAATGTCCATATCAAAAGGGCTTGTTTTACTACCATTAAAATGGCGTGGTTACATCAGGTATTATTGAATTAGTTATTGTCTGCTTTTACGTTTGAGGAAACATTACTTTTTTCAACGGTATTTACGTTTATGTATTAAGGTTACAAATAGTTGCTTTAAATAAATTTTGTTTGTTGTGGACTGAAATTTTATTTCATGGATAAGGTTAACTGGTACGATTGTGGTTTATTATTACAACAAGTTACAACAACATTAAATAAATTATGATATTTTATAACTTGTTTTGTTACAAACTGTGTTGTATTTTTTGTTAATATTTTGTTGTTATCATGATTTTTTTCGAGGTTGACTGTAAGAACCTCCTGAGGTCCTAAGTTCGCCTCAATAAAGAAGGATTTTCATTTCATTTCATTTCATTTCAAGTAACGATAACAATTTTATTCGAATCTACATTGTTATTCGCAAGTTTATTGGCCTCGGTACTACATGATTTGTAAGTAAGTTCTTCGATTGTGATTTACTATAACCATACTTTGCACACAACATAACATAAATGTTCCGCTTCGGACGGGGCGGAAATTCACTGTAGAGCTGTGACACGCTACTGCGATGTTAGGCGGAAATTCACTGTAGAGCTGTGACACGCTACTGCGATGTTAGGCGGAAATTCACTGTAGAGCTGTGACACGCTACTGCGATGTTACGAGGAAATTCACTGTAGAGCTGTGACACGCTACTGCGATGTTAGGCGGAAATTCACTGTAGAGCTGTGACACGCTACTGCGATGTTAGGCGGAAATTCACTGTAGAGCTGTGACACGCTACTGCGATGTTAGGCGGAAATTCACTGTAGAGCTGTGACACGCTACTGCGATGTTAGGCGGAAATTCACTGTAGAGCTGTGACACGCTACTGCGATGTTAGGCGGAAATTCACTGTAGAGCTGTGACACGCTACTGCGATGTTAGGCGGAAATTCACTGTAGAGCTGTGACACGCTACTGCGATGTTAGGCGGAAATTCACTGTAGAGCTGTGACACGCTACTGCGATGTTAGGCGGAAATGAATTCATTTTCAGCTTTTATAGTGATTTGTAGTTCCGAGTGTAGCCAAATTGAGACAAAACTTTATCTTAGACAACAAAGGATTTAAAACACGTGGGAAGTATTAATTATAATTTATTAGTTATTATATTTATTAATTATTATAAATTGCATTGCATTAATTATAATCAAAATATGAATGATCAATATGGCTTAAAACAAGAAAATTACTTGTTTACTATCATTTTATTGCTTTTAATAAATGCAAACTAAGCGTGGGTTGAAGTAAGATTGCTTGTGAAGCTTTTTTAATGATTATTATAATTTTTCTTTGGTCAGAACCATGCATTGTTAGCGCCAATTTGGAACCACCAAAAAACTAATCCAGCGTTCGTTTAATGGTCAAATTATAACTACGACCTTACTTTAACCGAACCATGCATAACTGTGTATTTAATACACTTAATTGAGCAACCTAAAGATTATTAAGACCGGAAACAAATGTTGAAACACTAAAAAAAACAACTTATAAAAAATAAATATTTTGCATAAGTAAACGAACCACAGGAAATATAAGAATTTTAAAACTACAGTCTCCGTTAGGATCTCTAGAATTATAAGAAACACAGATCTAATAAACCACAAAAATATGAACATAAATCAACATTTACAATGGGTCTCATCATCAGTCTGGCTGTGGTGTATGCAACAAAACTCGAATTGAACCAACACCCATCTCGACAATGATAACACACATTAACACCGATAAATTGATATTCATAATGTTACCTCTACGGAAATGTGTAATTGTAACGCTAGATTTTTGATAAAGAAAAATTGAATATTACCTTTCCTAGTACAAAATAGATGTTTTTGTTTTGACGTTTCTTGTTTATTAGAATATCTTTTGTACAAACTCTCGGTGGTAAGTGCTTCCACAAAGGAGCAATATATTTTTACTCCTCTGTGTTGATTACAAACACGTAGACTTCAAAGTAACGGATATGTGGTTCTTATTCGTGTCTCTAAAATACTATTAGCTGGCAGTGTGAGACATGGTGTTGTATAAACAAGGAAGCTTTATTTATATTGTACTGTTGATGCCTGTGTTACTTTATTTATATCGCTATTATTTAGATTTCCTGAATTTTCTGACTAAACCGCATATCCACATGCCAAAGTTTTCGTAAATATGTATGTTTGTATCTACTCGAATCAGTTGTTTTAAATGTATTTTGTATATTGAAATTCTGACGCCATCAATCCCTTATTAAGTAAAAGATGAAGACATGGTAATAAGCTTGGTAATAACCGTTGTTTCCTGTGTTACTTTATTTATATTGTACCGTTGATGCCTGTGTTACAACTAGGTGGACTGTATGCGTTACTACTCACCCTGGTTTTAGGTGTCTGCTTCAGTCCAATGGCAGGTTGACTTCGGTTACTCTGTAAACAAACCAGGAATTAATTATTATACATTATAACACATGTGCACAGGCTGAATTGATATTTTAAACAATCTGCCAGTTTGGTTTGAAATGAAAACGGCTGATACTGTAATTTAAAAAGCTCTATTCCAACTTTAATGTATATATAAAGGGACACAGACAAATGTAAGTGACATGTACTATTCATACCAGACAATCTACAACAGTCCCGCCACAGAATCAATCATGTAGGCCTATTGTAGGCGACACAATATCCAAGATAAATGGGTCGGAAATATTAATCCATAGTTTCAAATACGAATTCAATTCAACGTAAGTTAAATTATCTTATAATGTAATTATGATATGTGAGAATTGAGAATTATCAATTTAAAATCAAAATAAGATCAATTTTCGATCGCATCATTAACACAACAGGGCGTATCATTTAAACTCTAAACTGTAATATAGAGACTGTAAAATGTGGTGAAATACCTTGAATAGCTTCCATTCGAACTCAAAACAAGTATTCTGGAACTGGCTGGGTCCAGTTTCTAGCCATAATGCTCTCGATAAAATATCTTTGTTTTATCAATACGTTACCGAGTTTTCGCATTAAAATATCGTATATAATCTAAATATATTTATTTTATTATATGGTTAATGTTTTATTGATCTTGTAGTTACTATTTTCATTATTTTAATGTTTGTTCAAACAACTGCCGTTTGGTAAAGTTTTTACTAGGATACCTCAACAGAAGGAGATAATATACATTTAGGTCAGTAATGTATAGTATCTTATCACATTTCGAGGACAACAAGAACACATTAACTAAGTGTGGTTTTCATCCTATTGGCCATAAAAAAAACTTTTTTCAACAAGTTACAGTAATTTTGTTATTTTTTTGTTCAGTTGAAATTTGAAAAAAATCTTGAACCTTGCTACACAACAAAGGACTGTTTCAAAATTGTATGTAAATTTCTAAATTATATAGTACGTCAATAACAGAGAATTGCGAAATTGATTCCTTCTGAACTATCAATTTAATATTGACGTTAAATCTTGGGACGAGAATAGCGTCCATTGTGAGAGGTAGTTGCCAATGAAATGTAAAACAATGAAATGTTCCGATGAAACCCACAGTGTCATTGTGAGCGTGACACAAAGACAAAACAATGACCCGGCAACCGGCGACGTCTGCCGCTCCCGTTACTCTTTTCGATTTGGCAACTTGATAACGAGCAAATATTTATTTGATGTTTTATCTTTTGCATTGACATTTATTTAAGTTTTTCTATGTCATTGGAATATTTTAATTTTCAAGGGTCCAAGTCTAGTTTTTCGAACCGTAGTCTAGTTTTCATCCAGCGTTAAGCTTTTGGTATATGCCATTATATAGTCATAGGTGCTTAAACTACTAGTTAGTTCGGGGTTGCAGTAGTAACAGAACAGATATGAGGGAGAAATAACAACTTGGCTGCTCTGACGATTGATTACAATATATTACATAATGAGTCCAAACTTGTGTCCAATAGCGTGAACAAATATGGTACAATTATCGTATATGTAAGACCAAACATACTTCACTTGACAAATTCAATCAAACTGCCATGTGACCGGTACGATGGACCAGCTGGGAATCGGTTTATTGAATATAACGTGATTGACGTGAGAAATGTGTCAATCAACAAAACAAGATTTACTTATAAATACTTTAACACCTCAGAATATTTGAAACTCAATTTGAACAACGATTCGCAACACAATTTGATTACTCGGGCAGTACATTTCTATAACAGAGCGTTGTGAGGTTATATTAAACACATGGGACCTGGTGACACTGCAGACTACCCACAATCTGCATCCGAGTAGTAGATCAAAATATGAACTTTAGGAACATTAAAACCCAAAGGTGACGATCAAAATATACACTTTTGTTCAACATTAATATACAGTTTATACACCAAACAATTTTAAAATAAAGGGTACGATACTACGTTTAAATACAGAAAAATAATATACTTAAATACATTTTCTAAAAATAACTGCTATTGTTACGACCTAAAGCATATTATGTGCCAATCCAAATTTGTTTTTAAACCCGTTACAAAGATATAATTGATTGAACACTAATCAGTATTTTTCTACGACCTTCGTCAATAGATTTGCACGTCTTGAGGTCGGTAGGCTGGATCGAGTTTACATCCGTTATAAGTTCATGAACTAAAACTATAAACTAAAATTTTAATTTTGAAGGTTGTATTGATTAGCTATTAAGTAATTTTTTTAAGTTACTGAGTATTATTATGTAATCATGCACACACAAACTTTTTACATTTAAAAAGTAATAAATAGCTGTCAAGATCTTCTGTCTTGTGTAAATTATACTTCATATTTACACAAGAACAACAACACAGCAAAGAAAACAGTAAGGAATAAACTTCGTATCGCAATATATACCATTTGTTGTACCATTAGATCTTTACTTATGTGACATGTGTCGAGAGTTAAGATTTTTCCTTAATGTCGAAAAAGGCACTAAACCAAAACAGTTCCGTTCAGCCAACGGTCTCAGGAGATCAACAAACTGACTTCCACAAGAAGACGGCCACTCGACCTAAGGGACTGTCGTGTGTTTATCGATACTTTGGACGACCGTACTTTGTCCATACAATCTTATAAAAACAAAACACAATTATGTATGATAATTTTTATCATATTTTTGTTATCATCGAGCTAGACTCTGAACCGTAGGAAAATAGCTTACTATGTCTCTTTAGACTAATAAACTCAATGATTTTGCGTGAGAGACCAAGATAGGTTATACCACTAGCTTTTACAATGTAAATGGATTTTACAAAATTGCAGAGTAATGTATTTATCACAGGAAATCATGTGTTTTCTCTGTTAATATTGTGTTTCAGTAAATAAATGCTTGCAGTTTTTCTCAGTGATTGTATTTTAAATGTATCAAAACATTGTTTTTCAAATCTTAAGTTTATCAAATATTTTTGTTTTAACTGCAATAAAACTAATTTTATACCAACAAATTGTCTATACATAATCACTACAGTTTTATTAAGTGGGTATGGTAAACGTATACTGTACAATTAAACACTACAGCACTACAGGTTACCATAGGTTGGGCAGTAACTTATTTATTAAAAATTCCAATAATACTTTTGGTCGTCTTGCACAAAACTATTGTACGCTAATTATTTCACAAAATGAATATTTTGTACTTAGCTTGCCTTTATAAATTGGCTGCCAAGGTAGTTTACCTCAATTTTTGCTATTAAATATGAACTTCTGTTACCATTTTTTAGATATTTTAGGTATTACCCTCGCTACTAACACAATAATATATTAAAATTAAAATAAAACATGTTAATATTGTAATTTGTTAAAATTTCGTTGAAAGTGTAGTTACTGTGGCCGAATGAAAAAAATATAACGAGAAGTTTTTTTGTCAACAGGTTTAGATAAAAAAATCAGCGATCGAATTTTGAAGTCATAAAAATGTACTCCTGATATCCTTGAGTCTAATTTTTCACCATAAATATGGTAGCAACTGCTTCATTCAGTGACGCATTTATAAATCAGCCCTTTTTGTGGTAGCATAAAAGACACAGTTAACTATGAATTTATTACCTACGTTAAAAGTTGAATAGAACTTATAGCAAATACTACTAGTATGTATTTTAATTTTTAATGTGTCTTGTGTTTTATACAGCAAAGTCATGCCTTATGGTTTGGTTAGTCACGTAATAACAGCCGAATGCAGCACAAAGAATGGAGGAGCTTGATTAGTGGGGCTGTCTTGCTGGCTCGGCTCCCACCCCTCAACCGTATCGATCCTCTGACATTTTTAATCAAGTATTTAGGCCTAAAAAGTTTTAAAAACTATTCTTGTGATAAACACAAATTAATGTTGCTTTATCCATTCAACTAGTATACCTACATATATTCTCAGTCTAGACGTGTTACTGTTGATAGACTTGAGCGCATGAATAGCAATTGTAAAAGCTAAAGGAACAAATTCCTATCCTAGAACATCACCAGCGTGCTCATTACTCATTGAAACATCACGTAACAAGAAAAATAGGATTAATGTATGATCTAGTCTATATTTGTACAAAAAAGACACCAAATCCAAAAACTTTAGGAGTCCGCTGCCTACGTAACAAATAATCACAATTCCAATCGAGTTTACCATTTACGACAGCCAAGCCCATGCAACAACACACCTACAGTTTCCTTACAGATGAAACGCGTTACATCCAAAGTCTCACAGCGTTTACGACAATCTCACAAGTTTGGGGATGAATTACAGTTCTACGTTTCCGTCGTGAATAAATTTCCTCCCTACTTTTTTATTTATGTGTTACATCTCCACAATTTATATTCGGTGTCAACGTTCAGGTGAAGTAGATATACTCTCAATGTCCACGAATTACAAAACCACACTAGATGGATTGTAGCAGTTTTCCCGCAACTGTTTATTCAAAAGATAAGTTAACATAGCACGTATTTTTTATTCAATGCAAAGTATTAAAAAATACGATGAAATAAATGTATAAAACATTCAAATAATATACAAATCAAGAAATCTAGAGCTCAAACACCAATGTTTTCCCGAAAACCTCGCGCTAAGCCTGGTACATCACAGCATTGCGATAAAGCACTACTGCGGATGATTTTGGATGCAACGGATAGAGACATAACTCACGGCCCGGAGTGAGTTGAGTCTAAATCATGACCGTAACTCTCTCACAGAGCGCCAGATAGTGCTACCGGAGTTGTACCTGATTTAGATTTCTAATTACGTTTGAATAATTCGTGTAGTTTTGTCAGTGATCCACCTTAAAATCTAGCGTATTTTTTTTACTGAAGTAGCCTATACCTAAGTAAATTAGTGCTTGTTAATATTTTAAATGTAATGATTTTTTGAAAATAAAACCTACTTGGTTAAAATGTTTTGAAATTCTACTCGCATTCATGTGTTTGAAGTGGGAAAC